TCAAAAATAAGTCACAGTCCAGATTGTTCACAGATGGTCACTGGTATAAATGGTTTGGCAACTTTTGCAAAATCTGCATGTTTTCCCTTGTTTCTATCATCCCTGGAATTTTAAATGGGCTTGCAGTATGCAACATACTGTAAGAGATATTAGTGATACAAGGCATATGTTAAGGGAGAAGCGAAATATAAAGTTAATGACTTCATTTTTATAAAGCTTAGAAGGCTAATAGAAAGGGTCTAAAGAGGAGTGGATGTGGCTGGGGAGGGTGATACCAAAGAAAGAAAAGGTATTGCTAGACAAAGAAGGGGAGGAGCCAAGGGACACAAACCTTAGTGCAGTGAAAATAAGATACTTGGTATCTGTGTATACAGCATACAGATGTTGAGGGAGAAACCCATCTGTGTATATCTGCAACGATCTGAAAACCCAATTTATTGGAGAACTAGGAAAAAGCAAAATAGAAAGAGATGGAACAGAACAGACTAGAAAAGTGATGTTAATAAAAGTTAATACCAAAAGTAGAAAGACACAATGGACACACATTGGAACATTTGAGACATCAAACCCCTCAAACCGTACCCATTGATTAACCCTTTAATGCTTTCAAACCATATTGCCCTTTACAGTTTAAGACCTCACTACCTGTCAGAACACCTCTCCCTGAGATCATCCTCCTGTCCCACCTGCACTTCCCAATCCTTGATGCTGCAGGTGACCATTCTGAGAGCAGTCATCAACCAGAGGCTGGACCCTTTCAATAGTGGCCACCCTACTCTGGAACTCTCTCCCTGTGGAGGTGCAATTGACCCCCACCCTCCTGAGCTTCTGTAACTGGAAACCTGCCAAAAAACCAAAACAAAGACATGTAAACCCAACAAACATTGAAGAAACACATAAATGCCAAAGAAAAATTGAGTTTAGTTTTCAAGGTAGGAAAATGTTTGCCAGGTGCCAAGATATTTAAAGGCAACCTTTCTGGCTCAAGTTTATTAACCCCACTATGCAGTGAAAATGTTTTGTTAGTTGGTCCTTAATTTCTCAGGATACATACAATACAGAATGCTGTTTTCCTAAAATATTCTTGGCCATAAGTAGAAACCCTAGCAGTTTTGGAATATGTAATGTATTTGACATGTTGCCTAGTGTTAGAGATCACAAAAAACAAGTTATCTAGTTCTTCCAAGTACAAACGCCATAAAAGATGTAAAGGTAGCATACTCATCCTAACCTTAGGTTGTGTGCTATGGATTTAGTTTTCCATTTTGTTAATTTTGATATTCTACATGCACACTTGTATCTTATAAGATGAGAGCTTCAGCTTCAGAAAAGAAAACTATGAATCCTGATACCTTCTGATGACCTTCTTTAGCGGGATGTATGCAAGTGTTGACTAGGGTCGCCAGGTCAGCAACATCAATGCTATCAATGAAGGAAAATTGCCAGTTTGGTCAACAGCTATACAGTGCCACTATCTTGTCCTTTGGGCTATCCCCCTTCCTTCCTTCCTTCCTTCCTTCCTTCCCACCCCCTTTTCTTTTGGCTTGAAATAAATATAACAATGCCTCTGATTTATAAACCCCTTCCTTTGTTTGTTTGTTTGTTTGTTTGTTTGTTTGTTTGTTTGTTTGTTTGTTTGTTTGGGGAGCACAAAAGGGCAAGGCATCAGCCCTGTTTATAATTGTAATTGGTAGATATTTATTGATAGGAAGAAATTCATCTAGATTTTTAAACTGTTCAGATTCTTCTGATGATTTTCATGGCTTTAATGGGTTTTTAATTTTTTGTTTTAATCTTCCCAATGATCCACTTTGAGTGCTATTTATCTTTTCAGAAAGATTGCCGAAAATATTAGGAACAGAAGAAATGAAATAAATGTTTACATTTTATTTTATTTTATTTTAAAAAAATACTACTTTGTACCTCTCAGAAAGACTGTTCAAAATGTTCAAAAATTTATCTTCCTGTATTGGAAACTAAATTACACTAAAATAATACAAATGAAATGGATGATTTGTTAATTCTGGATATGTGGAAATGAGAAAGAATTACATGCATATAAGCATGAAATAAGCCTAAGGAAGCTGCACAGTGTTCATGAGTGACAGGTGCAAATTTGCACCCACAAAACAAACATACATACACAAAACAACAAATTCCACATTGTGAGTTTGCTTCCAAAAACTGAGGACTATTTGCTTTCTTCTTTTGTTTATGATGTTTAGCACTAAGGGGGTGGGAAGGGGGGGGAAGGGATAACACACCTTTATGGCCTCTATATTGCAATCATCTACAATCCTGGTTGTTTTAATGTATAATTGGGTTACTGTGACTTTCAGACTGAAACTTCAAAGATTAAGAAGGAGAAAGGTGGCAGGCATGGAAAACAAAGGAAATTTTGTTTCAAGAAGACGTAGCAAAGAGCTTTCAAATTTCTTTATGTCTAAGGTTACAGCAATGCTTCAAGTTCCTTTTATTTTTCTTGGCTTTGTGTGAAAAGATTTTCAAAGAGACCTGCACACATTGGCTGAGAAATGTTTGTTAGAAGTTGTGCATTTAATTATCAACACAAGGTCTCATCTAAACTGCTGTGAAGTCAGTTCATTGGTGATTATCGACTCCCTACTGATTATGAACCTGGAAGAATCACAGAAGACAGTAACTTATATTTCACTAATGACTAGCTAGTAATTATGTGTCATCATGTCAGTTCTGATTTTCTATGTACAGAGTCCTCAGAAGTGGTTCTTCTGGTGGCACTTTAGTACCTACCTTGCCCAGTCTGGCTTTTCTCCTGGGAAGTATGACGAGAAATCAAACTCTCAACTCTCGGCAGATAATGCAATTCACTGAACTTGCCAGTCAGTTCTATTATTTTACTTGAATTGGGATGACACTGAACAAATCAATACCTGGCCAGCATTTTTCACCTCCATTTTCCCTGGTGCAAGGAAATCTTCCTCACTAGTTCGCTTGGCCCTGTTGACGACTCAACCCTTCCTTGGCAGGGCGAGGAAGCAGGATTCTCATGTATCAAAGGTGGCTTATTCACATCTAAACTACAATCAAGAGGGAAACAAGTTAATTTTTGTTGAATCCATTTTGAAAATGAACTTAGGGAAGCTTTCAGTTTTTCAGTGAAAAAAAAAGGAGTCTGGGAATGTCGGAATACATTTAACTTGGATTTTCAGGATGCTGTGTCTGTGCTGCATAGATGTCTTTCATGTACTACTGATGCTGAATCCGCATGCATCCTTTAAACACTACTTATTCTCAGAGATGCCCTGTCTTTAAATGATCAAATGTTTATATTCACATCTGCTGTCATTATAAATGGTCATAAAAGAATGTCTGTGATGGATCCTAAATTCAATTTTTAACAACTTAACGCAATGCATAACCCCTAAATAATGAGCTGTCAGGTTTAAACGCTTGGACCTTCTCAGGCATGATGGATCATCTAATCACATAGAGAAATTAAATAGGCAAGACCTAGGCTGGATGAATAAAAGCTTTGGACATGTACTTTTAATGGAATTCATGGAATTACTAGGCTACACTCTAAGTTTTAAGGACAATTCATCCTTTCTGTTTAAAGCCAGTTAAATGACTGTCACATGACACTGTGCAACAAGTTTTGAGAGACCCTTTTCCATTAATCTAACAGACATTTTCATATTAGAGGCTGGAAACTTTCAATGTGTTTTATTTTGAATGGTTTTGTCCAATCCTACAGGTCCTATGGAGGGAAGGGGACTTACAGATACGGTTACTGTATCTTGTCCTTATTCAAAAACAGGAAACTACAAATGAATGATCAATTAGTGTAACAGGCTAAGTAATAAAGTTTTGACTTCTCTTTCCTTGTGTCGACAGGCAGCTGATCCTTGGCCAATCTTTCCCTTTCTCTCTCTCTTATTCCCCGCTGTTAACCTCTCTATCTCTCCCCCTCCCATTAGTGGGACAGATATATATTCAACAGCAGCTTAAATTAGACATGACTGCCTATAATATGTATTTGTGTATTAATGGAAAGATTTGTACCATGCTGGCCTGACAGTGTGCTCTCTTCCATAGAAACTGTACTTAATGTGCCTCTTACGTATGACTTCACAACGTGCATTGCCTCTATGAAGTATAACCAAGGGCCAGTTTTAAGTAGCTCTTCTCTTTTTTTTGTTGTAGCTGCTCTAGCTGTTAAAGAAGCTGGTCCTATGCATGTGCATTCATAGAAGGGCAAGCAGGGCTGTTCCCCAGGAATTCTAAACTTAATACTTACTCATTAATTTAAATCCATGGCAAAGGCATCTAGGGCTGCTCTCTGACGTATACAAGAATTTTCTTCATATACAAGGCATGCAGTTCTGAAAGAACACCTCACAATCTAAAATTCAAGAGAAACATTCTTTTATGCTACCTGACCTCTCAATATAAACAATATAAAAACAGCAATGTAAAAACCCAGTTGTTCTTGAATTAAAGTTCCCAGAGGCCTTCACCACTAACCAGGATTTCTGGGAGTTTTAGTCCAGGAACATCTGGTGATTGAAGGCTGGGAAGCACTAGTCTAAATCATTGGTTCTCAAACTTGGGTCCTCAGATGTTCTTGGACTGTAAATTCCAAAAATCCTGGCCAGCACCACAAGTGGTGAAGGCTTCTAGGAATTGCAGTCCAAGAACATCTGGGGACCTCAGTTTGAGAACCACTGGTCTAGGCTATAGAGCCTGTGATTCTTATCAAGCTTAGCTCTCTATCTCTACTTGCGACAGAACACTGTACATAAACCACACTGTGACTCCATTCAGAGTGTTCACCAGAATGAAGAAATTGGTATAGGATGTGGGGACACTTTTCCTGATAAGGTTTGTGAAGTTGTCAGCATTGTGATGTGAGTGGTTAGGCAACTATGTGTTAGATCATCTCAATGTTTTACTCTGTTTTTCTTTCCCATCCCTTCAGCTGTCTCTCACTCCACATAAACTTCTGCTGGAGCCCATGGTGCCTCTTTTGAGCTGCATTCACGTGGCCAAATTCCACATTCTGAGGGTTTTTATTCCACTGTGAGTAGGCTTTGAAAGGCCATCAAATGTGGTACTAAGGATGAAAGAATGTAAACACAAATGCATAATAAAAAGCACAGGTGTGTTCTAGTAGCACATGCCATATATGCACATTATGCTCAAAACGATGCTGCTGCTTCATTCCCCCTTCTAAAAAGATTCCTGCAGGGGGGGGGATTGTCCTTTGTATCACTGCCCATATCAAAGTGATAACAATCTCTTATGTGTTGCACATGCATGAGACATGTTACTTTTTCACAGTATTTCTTCACCTCCAACAAGAACAGGAATTGTTACATAAAGCTGCAAAAATATTCCTTAGGTTTCAAAGCTATATAGGTATTGCTTAAAACAGTGACTATACTGAATTAGATGGTACAGAAATAGAATCCCACCCAAAGCTGACCCCCACCCCAAGTCCCAATGTTCTATTGTGATTCACTGGAAAAGGGAAAAAACAATGGAATTTCTCTAATGGGTTTCAGAATTGCCTTCTTTTTGCTTTGATTGTTGTTTAGGATTTCCAGCTAAAGAAAATGCACAGAACATACAGTACAGAGACAAAAAATTGTTTATCTGGAATGGATGTAGACTAGCTTCTCAGAGAATAATCATAATAAGTAAACATTATAAACACCCTGACTCTCACAAAGTATGGTAGTATTTTAACTGTATTTTATTTTTGATACAATATTACAGCTGTTGAGTTTTTATCTGAAACACTTGAATAAGGCTTGCTTACAAAATTCCTGGCATGCAATATTGTAAATGTCATATGCTTTGAAGTGCTTCAGATATTCTTCTTTCTCCCGTTCCACAAAACAAATAAAGAGGCCATGTTCGTATCTTTTATCCGCCAGCATTCCACTCAAGTAAACGTATTTTAAAATGTGCAACTTGGACTTCATTGTCATTTTTGCCACTTCGGCCTTTTCAGCTAAAAATGAAGCATCCTTCAGGTTATGTGCCCTGCTGTGACAGCAAGGTCCAAGCCAGTCAAAATATAACTAAAGAGAAAAACAAAGACCCAAGAGATTATATGTTTTCTAAAAATTGCAATCTGGATGGGGAGATTTCTAAGAACAGCATCTGTGTAGTACTTGGTGATGACCCGAACCCCCTGGTGGTATATAATCAGCCCTTGAGGGTTAATTTCAATGAAGTAAAATGTTGCATTAAAATTGTGGAAAATCAACGTTTGTATTGCAGAGGAAGGAGAAAATCATGACCTGGATTCCTGGCTTGTGTGATGGATCTCTCCCAAAAACCCTGCATCAGTGCTTTTCAGATTTTCTGCCCTGAAGATAGAAGATAGGAATGTAAGAACCTAAGCCAAGCTGGATTAGATGTAAAGTCTATATTGCCGGTGCCCTGTTCCCACTGCTTCTGGCTAAATGCCTATGGAGGAAAACAAGTGCGATATGAACTCAACAATTAATCTAGTTTAGTATCATCTCTATGCTGCTCTTCCACAGTGAACTGTGCCCCATGCAGCACACATTGACTGGCATCTGGAGTCCATCCTGGTGAGGGCAGAAGGTGGGGGCAGCCAAGGGTGACAGGCAAAGGCAAGGCAAACATTTATATTTATTTATTTATTTATTTTATTTTATTTCTATCCCGCCTATCTGGTCATACTAGACCACTCTAGGTTCCTAGAGCATTTATGTACACATATACAAAGGTAAGCGTACAAGTATTCAGACATATACATTGTAGGAGATCACAGACAGAGCCCTGCCTCTACTTATGAGACAATCAGGGATGGGTTGGTTATGGGTACCATGAGACGTAGACGGGACAGTACCCCACTTGCCCCAAGGAACTAGCCTCCGCTTCAACTACAATTTATCACAACCATGCGTCAAGTACAGAAGTGGAAAAGCAAACAATAAATGAAAATAAGGGGAGAACAGACAATTCAAGAAACATGGCATGTGTTAATATTATAATGAAATAATCTAGACTTAAGTACAATGTCATCTAAAAAATGATGCCATCAACCCTCATTCAGGGTTGGCTAGTTTGGCTGTGGATTTCTGGGTGTTATAGTCCAAACAAATTTAACTCTGTTATCTTGGCCCTTATTGTTCATACTAGGTCTTTCTGCAGTTCAAGAGGACACAGCAGTGGCTAGGATCCTGTTGCTTTAAGTTATATCACATAAAACTGATGATGTCAGCAGCTGTGGTAGTTTTCAGAAATTAAACATTTCTTACAATTTTGCCCTCCTTGCACCCAGGTTCTGAGACTCCCATGGGATTCCTTTCATCATGGGGAAGGGGTTGCAGGGAGGGATGTTTTTAACTTACAAAAATCACCACCATCAGAAAAGTCCTCCCAGTGGTTGTAGTTTTCTGCAACAGAAGCCTGGAACCTCATAAATAATTGAATAAAATAATCTAATAAAATCTAGCTAGAGTTGATGTGTGAGCAGCATTCCCTGAGATTTCGGACCCAAGGACATTCCCTGTAGAAATGATAAAGAGGTTTGTTCTTTTGCTGTAATGGGGAAGATCCTTCAGCCATAATTGCAAAATGGCTAGTGTCTGGCAGACAGACAATGTGAAGACAAGATGATGACTTTAATGGCTAGTTAAGTAGTCTTAGTGAGAGACTGGCTTCCAGAGTGTGTTGAGAGAGCCTTCCATGGTTAAGATCAACCCACACATTGGAAAGTACAGTAAAGGAGTTACTAAAAGGATAAGGAACAGTATTTTCTAAATCCAATGTGGAACAAGAGTAAATCTACATCTTCTAGTACCTCTGTGGTTAATCTGCACTATGTCAGGATGAACCTCATGATGTCAGACCAGCAGCATTTGTTCCCTGAGTTTTCAGGGCCATAACCTGAGAGCTGAAGAATGAAATTAAGAACCTAAGGCTTAAGGTGAAATCCTGAAATACTGCAACTCTTCCCTCTCTTCCCTCTCTTGCCATTGCTAGCACTAGTGTTATATAGATCTAAATGAGTGGTAAAAGGAAATAGCCTTTTCAGCGATTGTACGGATAGAGGCAGATGAGAACCGAGTGGAGAAGTTAAAAACAAAAAGCACAACCATCTCTGGTGCTAATCAAAACTATTCCAAGAGGCCTGAGACTCTTCTGTTGTGTTGGATTACAATCCCCATCACAATCTGCTGGTGGGGTGGTTAGACTGGATAGAGATCTTGCATTCCAAAGCATCTGGAGGATGCTCATTTGGGGAAGTCTGATGTAAATGATGTATCCAAAGCAGCCTGGGGTTTCTGTAAGTACTGACTCATTCACAGGCTATTCAATCTGATATTCCATTAAAGCAACCTTTCTCAAGGGGTCTTTCTCTGGCCTACCGTGAGGAACAAGAAAAGAAAAAACAGAGTTATTCTGGGTTTTACCTTAGATAGTCTCAAGGGATCTGAGTTAGTTAATGAATTATTTCAACTGAATTAAGATTGATTTGTTCATTTACCTTCCTAATGCTACAGCAGATACAGCTAGCTAGAACTTCAGATTTGTCAAGGGTCCTGGGTCAATGGGAAGATAGATCTTGTTAGTATTCTATTCTCCATTCTGCCAATCCCATCTGCAGAAAGGAATGGAGCAGTTCATGCCTCTATTCAGAAATCATCCTTCTAGGAGAGACCAGTTCCCCACGCTGAATCACTTAGCTTCACATCAGGGAAATCTGATAAAGCCATGGAAAGCTCTTATCTTTAGCTGATAGCTTGACTTTTAAAAATCCTAAAATCAGAGGGATAATATGCCTCAAATTTAAAGCACATATTTAATCATCAAATGACACCAGCAATTGCCTTGGAGAAAACTAATCTGAAAATCTCAACTTGAATAATACGGTTTCCAAAAAATTATGTACAGCACTTATATCATGTGTTAGAATGGCAAGTTCAGTCATCTATAATTTCAATACTTTAGAATTACTTATTGCATTACATATTTATATTGAATAACAACTGTTTGCTATCAGTGGAAGTACTTATCAGGCATGGAGCCTGAGCCAGGAATCAACCAGGAGTTGGGATAGCATTCCTGGAAACACTTAAGTTATCTTGCACTACATGAGGTTTACTTTTGAGCTGACATGGAGAAGGCTGTGTTATATCTAGTAATGATATCTGAGGTTTATTTTAATTTCCAATTTCTATAATTTTTTTCTAGCACTATAAAATTAGATTTTATTAAGGTAACCAGATGAAAAAGAAGACAGTGTTCCTATACCTTTAATAATTGCTTAAAATTATGAATTTCAGGAAGTGCAGCTTTTAATGCAAGTTACACATGCTGAAATGTCTGCTTCCAAACAGTGTACTGTGTATTAAAGGTACACAAATCCTGTCCTCTTTTTCATCTAGTCATTTTCAGTGTTGTTACAAAATTAATGGCAAATTAAAAGCATGGAAGTGGGCTCTATTCTTCTATGCCTGAAGCAGCCTACACCTGTTTTATTAGATTGCACTAGACACATGTTGCATCTGCAGTGCATTATGGGAACTGGTGTATGCCTAAATAAGGTGTGCTCCATGACGTGCGGTTCATAATCTCTGCTGCTATTTTGTCACACCTCAGTAATGAAGTAAAATGGTATTGCCATGGAGAGTTTGTGGAATGTGATCTTTGCAGATGGCCTCTGCACCTCTTAGGCTAATGTAAGGTTAGAACATCCATGTTTGCCCATTTGTTCACTTTTTAAAATTTCCTTAGCAATTAGCTATGCCAAAATGTGCACACTTTTTAACATATTAAAATCCTATTTTTAAGATAAGTGTTTGAAGTCACAGACTGAAGTAGAAATGGAATAGAGTTAGGAAGAAAACATACAAAATGGCATGGACAAGATTAGCATTCCTATGTTGTTAGGGAAAAAAATATTCACCCATCCATTCAAGACCGAGTTTTCATCCCCTTTCTTTTTTATATTGCTTCCCCAAATCTCTGGCAGTGATAAATTCCCATGGTTCTTCTGTAATAATCTGATTTGCATTGTTTCTCCATTGTATCTATAATCTAGAAACATTAAGTGTGTCAAGACATTATATGGTTTTCACTAAACAACAGATCTTTAAACACAATAGTTCCCTGAAGAACCTATTCAAATGCTATTACAAATCTTAACATACCCTTATTTCTCTGAGAAAGAATGAAAGCATTAGGTTTTTGGTATTGTGTGTGCATACTTACTCTCCCTCCCTCTCTCTCTCACTCACTCTCACTCACTCTCACTCTCACTCTCACTCACACACACACACACACACACACACACACACACACAGAGAGAGAGAGAGAGAGAGAGAGAGAGAGAGAGAGAGAGAGAGAGGATACTATTTTCTCACGAAACTGAACCAAACCCTCCTTAATATGATCCTTAAATCTATTTAGCTACTTGAGAGTTTAGTTATTTTTGCATCTTTGCATCCAAAGACCATAAGAAGCATGCATTCAGAATGCATTTCTTCAGCTGCATTTCCTACATAATAATAGCAAACTTACTACAAAAGACTGCAGATTTCTAAAAATATATGTATAAATTAAAAATATGACCTCCAAGCAGGCCAACTGGTATGGAACATGTTTAGCAGCAACTGAAGGAGAAAACCATGGAAAGCCAGAACTCAGCCAGAGTGGAAAATACAAGAATAGTATGGCCGTCAGGCATCTTCAAGAAGAAGAAGCACATAATACTACAACAATTCTACAGTTCAAACTTGTTCTGTTATAGAGGTAGATCACAATGATCTAACTGCAAGCAATATGGAAGGGCTTATTCGGTGCATCCAGTCTTATTGGGTGTCTTTATACCTCCTGCTGCCTAGTTTTCATGCATTACTTATGATTCACTTACCTGCCAATCTAATGCTGTACACAGATGTTGTTGGACATTAGCCTCCCTGCTTGACAGTCATATGTGTTTCAAATAAGTTTCAGTTGAAAGATTGGTATTAGAGATGGGGTTTTCATACAGTATTCATATACAAATACGAATATCCCCCACAGGTCCAAATAACGAAGGTCCAGCCCTCTGGGGCCAGACCGACCACTCACCATTCCACCACTGCTGCGAGCTCTGTGGAGCCTTCCTAGCACTCTGTTGCTTGCAGTGGATTAGCCACTCCTGGCAGAAGGCAAGATGACAAGCCTCTCTGCCAGGTCGAAGCGTGGCTAAATCCACCATGAGCAATGGAGATCTGTTAGGCCAGCATATAAACATGAAGAGAATTTGTATGTTTGTCTCTGTGTATCTGAACAAAGTAATGAAGGGAAACCAGGCTGCATCAAAGTTAATTGAGCCCAAGATGTCTTGTGCATGTCTGAGTACTTAATTAAATATTCAGACAAAGCTCAGTCCTCGATCATTTTATACCAATTATTCACAGGTAACAGGGGGACGATTTCTATGACATGTTATTTTTTCCCCTGCAACCTATGTTTGAGTTTATGGGTGGGTTTGAACATGTTTATAAGCAGTCTGGTGAGAAAGGACAAATTACCCATAAACATGTTTGAACCTGCCTATCGGATCAAATGTAGGTTGCAGAGAAAACATGAAATGCCATTGAAATCCTCCCCCTAGCCATCAGCTTCCTTCTAGTGCTTTGCGAGTTCTTGACATGCAATAATAAGTAGGAAAGTGGTTAAAGCTCCATGAAGCAGCCTGGAATTTTTGTCTAGGAAAAGGTTTAGTAAAGTTAATGGTCAATCCAAGTGCCCCCCCCCCAATTAGTAATACCTTCTATTCCTTTATGTATTTTTAACCAGAAGTAATCTGAGTGCAGGGTTGAATGTTGACCAGCTGGTGTGATTGAGATGTTTGAGGAGATGGCAGCTGAGAGAAAGTCAGGGTGCGACTAGACAGCCCTATTATCCCAGCCTGGATTAGTTTAGAACATGCTCAATAGGATCACTGTGAAGTACAGATATAATCTATATACAAGGATTGACCACTTCACCTCAAGTGTATTTTTAACTGTTGCTAACTAACATGGTGCATCAGCAATGCCTTTCAAATCACTGGTGATGCATTAACAACAATTGTTGTAAGCCACCCTTACCTTTGGGTAGTGTGGGCAGCATATAAGTTAAATAAATAAATAAACAATTTTTAAAATGGTTTTTTTCTCTTCCCCTCTGCAAGCAAGCTGGAAGGAAGCTTTCTATTTCTCAAGATCATTATTAGAGAGGGGGGTATTTGTATTCGTATACAAATGCCCCCACACAGGTGGAGATGAGGGACTTGCCGCCTGGAGCCAGACTGTCCGTTCACTGTTTTGCTGTTGCCGTGGGCTCCATGCTCCCTTCCTATTAGTCCAGAGCTCATGGTGGATTAGCCACTCCTGGCAGGAGGCGGGATGATGAGCCTCTCTGTCATGGTATAGATTATTAAGGTTAAAATGTGAATTATGAATGGGATATGTAGTTGTGGAAAGTTATAGAAAGAATCCATTTTGGTTCTGTGTTAGCATGATTTTGTGCCATAAGAATGTTTTCTCCATGAGGTGAATGGAAAGTTCCATGTAAACAGACTTGGCCTGAGACGATAAGGAGTCAAGACACAACACCCTTGTTTGGATCAAGACCCAAGACGAGGAGATGGGAAAACAACACCTGTACTTCTCATGGGAAAAGGAGGCTTGATGAGAAGAGACTGTCCTTTACGCCTATTGGTTAACATCTCGAAGCAACGAAGAAGAAGGGTGGTGCCAATAAGGAAGAAAATGGAGGATGTGACAGAATTATTATTCATTAAACTTAGAACTGAGAATTAGAATGGAGGATTGATATTCCGGTTCCAGAACAATAGTGAGGCCACAGAATGCTACAGAGTCCTTTTTGCCTGAGCTTTGTTCATCCTGGCAGACTCCAAAGCTGATGACTTTATCTTTTATTTTTATTTCTTAATTACTTACAAGAACAGACTTGTGGAAAGGGGTTTGTGTTACGTCCTGGCCCGGACTCTGCTCAGCTAATTAGGAGTGCACATACACCTGGACCCTCTCTGTTCAGGTAGCAAGTGATCCTTTAGACAACCTTGTTGCTGACACGCTGTACCAGGTCGAAGAGTGGCAGAGAGGAGGGTCCAGCCCCCAGGGGGCTAGACCCTTGTTATCTTCACCCGTGGGGGGTACTTGTATTCGTATACAAATACGAATACCCCCATCTCTAATCATTATGTGTTTTAAGCACAGGGGCAGCTTAAACCATCCTTTGGTTTGATCTCATCAATCACACAACCTGTGATTCCTGTTTGTGGGGGCTTTATGGTTATGGAGTGGCAGGTAGTACATAAGGAATAGGTTCAAATGAATTCAAAAGTGGGCAATTCGGGGTGCCAAGCATGCCTCCTCTCAAGTTAGAATTAGCAGAAGTTAGGTTAGGGATAGGGAAGCAGGGTATTCCAGTTACATTACACTTGGGGGTGTGCTGTATGGTAGGACAGTATGCTTGTGGAATAGGAATTCACTTTAGTGAGGTCTGTACCGGAATGTCAAATAGAGTCCGGGCACAGACCAGAATTGCACTACGGTAGGCCTCCTTGTGAAAGGGGAATTAAAGCTAATAAAAATTCATAAAATTGTGGCCCAGTTACCCTATGCCATGTGTCTCGTCTCTTTATTCCTGGCTGGGAGGATAAAAGAATGTACTTATATTTTAGCATTGTTTTGCCCTTTATCTTATGTACTGTAGTTCCATCTTTCCCTTCCTCCTATTTATCTTTGCCTAAATAAAATCCTTTTACCTGTTTAGAACCAAATTCTCCTTATTGCTTAATTGTATGAGTAACTTTGTCAATACTAAGCAATGCACAATAAGAAAGCATTTTATTCCTGTCACACAAGGCTACATAATACAAGAGGGAACAGAGGAGATTATCTAAAAAAGAAAAACCTATCCACTCAGTGTCTGAAAATGATGCCATTTTGGAGGCTTTGGGTGGGGCACAGCACTCAATAGAGTATTTGACAAAGATTTGGCAGCTGGTTGCCCTTTTAGGTTAATACCTGTCCTAGTAGCATTAAGAAGCTGCAGCCGGGACTAAGCTGAAGGTGCCAAAAAGGTGTCTGCAACTATCCAAGGAGTATGTGACTTGTAAGTGTGAACATTAGTGCAAAGGGGTGCTTCCTTAGGGAAGAATATCTTATGTGTGACATTCTTTTCCAGGAACCATCATGCATAGAAATCAGTGAAAAATCTGGTATTTGAATTGAATCAAGATGTGCTTCAAAATGTCAAGGCTTCTCCACCTACAAAATTCCTATGTATAAGCAACTTGTGCTAGGAATCATTACAAGAATTACTCCAGGACTGGAAAAGCATTTAAAGTGGATGTGTTCATACAGTCATCCTGGTAATATTTACAACAGCAAAGCGAAACAGTCAGCACCAAAAGTAAGGAAACCAGTACTAGGATCATATGCATGTGTAGAATTAAGTTAATCAAAAACCAGAAAGTCAAGTTCTAAAAGATGCTACGGATGGTCTGCCTGTTGCTTAATTTTTTGTCAAATGTGCTCTGAAATAGGAAAAAAAAAACCAAAACAAAACACTGGAACATTTAATGTGTGAAACACCTCTTATTAAGTTGTCTACAGAATACACAGATCACACAGTAAGTGCAATGTTTGACAAGACAGTATATGTGTTAAATAACATTGTCTGTCTGATGTTTAACACAAAATGGAAATGCTGTTCTCACATTGTGCAGACGGTTGATAAGAAAAGATTCCTGTAAACACTTTAAAAAATCTTTTATGTCCTCACTCTTATTTGTATGCCATCCAGTTAGCGACAGAGAAACATGTACTGCAAATTCAATATTGTAAATACCAGAAGTCTACTTGGAAAAAGAAAGGTATGGTAAAAATGTAATTATGTTTGCTGAATAATGTACATAACAAGACCAAAAGCTGCTACAAAAATTGGTGACATTATAGTTTGTAACATGGATGAAAGCAATGAAGCACTATGGCAAATTTGAGCAGTCTTAAATGGCAGAATGAATCTGAGTTTGAAATGAGATGTGAGAAGGAAGAAGACCCTGTGACTTTTTTCAGTCTAATTTTGTATATTCATCTGTGCCAAATTATCTAGAAAAAGCCATCTCAGCAACACCGAGGATACTATACAGACTGCTGAATTTTAAACATCATCAAGCTGGACTGCAGCTAAGAATAACATCTACTTGCAAATCTCACAGAGAAATGTAATACTTGGAACTAATTCAGCTTCGATTGGTTATTTACCTGGTGAGTGGACCGAAATTTGTCCCAACTTTAGGATGAGGATTACTGAGTCTCTGTTTGGCCTTTCTTCCCCACCCCACCCCCAGCCAATAAGGAAACCTGATTTCCAAACAGGCAATCTGAGTGGGGGACAAGGGGTGTCATTCAGGGACAACCTCCTATCCTAGTGGCTGAGTGAAACATTCCAACTGAATGGCATCAGGGGTGTGGCATTTAAAAACACCTGCCCTTAAACCACTTGAAACTACTACAACTCTCTGTAGTAGTAACATGCCTGGCAGATTTATGGCGTGACCATTTTGAGACTATCATTCATACTTTTTCTACCTATGCCTGAGGAAGGTGAATTTTACTCATGGAAGCTTGCATTGAATGCTTGATTTTTAGCAGTCCAGATAAAGGTATCACCTCTTCTACTTTTGGATTGTGTAAAGGACCACATGGCTATCTTGGTTGGTGTTCTTTGCCAGATAAGTGGTTCTATTTCATTGCTCTTTCTTGATTAATTTTTAATCCATGCTGGGTGGACCTCACATACTGTATATAATGTCATGGGAATTATGCAACAGTAACCATGTAACCCTTCTGATTTCTCTAATTCTATTAAAATGATTTTTACAAAATGCTTAGTGATGTGAGTTTAAGTTTACACGGACCTTGAAAAGGTTACTTTTTTCAGTTTGCAGCTCCCAAGATACTTCATCCAGCATGGTCAGTGATAATAATTATTCAGTGATAACTACTGCTTAACTACAAAAAAGTAACTCTTCCAAACTCTGTGAGTTTTGTCCCAGCCTTTTTTAATTATAAAATTAAAAACATTTCCTCGTTTTAATTTTTCATTTCCCAAATGCCTAAAGCTGACAGCCAAAACACGTATCTATTTATCTGCAAATTGTTTATTCAGCCATCTTTTCACAAGGGGAGACCGAGCAATGGGAGAGAAAAAATTATAATATACTGATGGGAAAGTATATAGAAGAGGAAATAAGCCTTGCATTAGGGAACAAATCTAAAATTCTAGCACATCCTATCTGCATCAATCTTGCCATATAAAACTTTAATGTGGCTGTTCAAGGTGAGCATTAGTTTTAATTCAAGTGCTTTATATTAAAATTAGAAACAGAATTTTAAGGTGCCTTGTTGTGCTGCCAGTAAGAAGCTCTTATTCAGAGGAAATCTAGGCATGCCATAAATTGAGTTGATGCAGTACATATCATACATTTATTCATTTTCTAAATAAATGTATGATATTTACTGCATATGTTTTATTAACACAAAACATGAGGCAAAGTCCTGATAGGTAGGTGGCTTCAGTTCATCTGCTGATATCTGAGAGAACTACCATGGCTCCACTATTCATAGTAAGAGTTTTATTTGGGTTTTTTTTTTCAGCCTAGCAATGTATTTGCTCAGCAGCTTCAAATATGGTAGGCAACCTTGGTATTGGCAATATTTACAAATTTATCCTGCTCAGAATTATCTCCTTTCCACAATTAACTGCTTTTGACAATAACTATTGGTTCATCACAAGAAAAAAGGCAATATAATAGAAATTACTTTGTAATTGCGTGATTCATTCCAGTCTATTTGCAGAAGAATTGTAACTGATTTTAGTTACTTTGGTTACTTTACAGTTACAGAGGGTATTGCCTCATAAGTTAAGTACAGTGGTGCCTCGACTTATGAACATCCTGACATACAACCATTTTGAGTTATGACCAGCTCCGGCCACAAAATTTTGCTTCGACTTGTGGCCGGAGCTTCCAGTTACAACAAGAAAAAGGCAGGGAAAAAGGTGGGGAATTCAAATTGCTAACCACTGGTGGCAAAGAGGCTGCTTCTTTGTAGTTCTTTCACCCCAGCAGTTAGTGAGTGTGTGATTGGAGAGGCTTCAGACTGCCTGGTAAGGTAAGGTGCTGCTTTCTACTTTTAAAAAACTGTTCTGGGTGGGTTTTGCAGAGTGGTTTTGGGCTGGGTGGTGGGATTATGTTTCTATGCTGTGATGGGTCTTGCGGGGTTTGTTGTTTTTGTTTTTTCCCATTTCTGATGGGTGCTGCGGGGTTTGTTTGCTTTTGGGGGTTCCCCCCATTTCTGATGGGTCTTACACAGTTTGTTTGCTTTCTGCTTTGCTTGTTTTGCATTTCCGATGGGTCCTGCACAGTTTGTTTGCTTTCTGCATTGCTTTTTTTGAATTTCCGAATGGCCTTGCATGGTTTCTTTGCTTTTCTTTCCCCCCCTCTTCAGCTGGAATGGATTACTTGTGTTTCCGATGGGTCTTGCAGTGTTTTTGTTTTGTTTTTTGGGGTGATTTTTTTTTCTTTGGCCGGAATGGATTAATTACATTTCAGTGCATTCCTATGGGAAATGGTGCTTCGAATTACGACCATTTTGACTTACGACCGGAGTTCCGGAACCAATTAAGTTTGTAAATTGAGGCACCACTGTATGATTGTGCTGTGGAGCAGTTTGCAGTTTTCTGATATGTAAACATAACTGACAAAAAATCTTGTTTAGTTTTGAACAATATCCTAAGGTTCCTTCTAATAATTGTAAAAACAATGGTGCCTACATTTTGTGAAATGCACTCTAACTGTAACTTACTACTACTTAAAAACAGCTTCTCAAACTCTGCTTGGAAGCTTCTGGAGATTCAAAAAGAAGGAGAAAGAAAGAAATGTATGAACATGGTCACAAGTAACATGTAAAACTGAGACATGAAATGAGCAAACAGAGCAAATGAACAGGGAAAGCTAAAAAGAGTTTGATGGGAGAGAAGTAGTAAGGGAAGGGAGTAAGGAAAGAGATAAAAGGAAAGAGATAAAGGAGACAAAAACAGAGTGAGCACAGCAGAGGAATAAAACTTAGACAGACCTGAGGGAGCAAGCAACTAGAGTGATCAAACAGGGAGAGTCAACAAGAGTTTAGAGGGGAATTCAGCAGGTGAGGCCGCTAACAAAATTTTTGGTTTCTGGTTGTAGTTACATATTTGTAGACTTCCCCAGGATTGAGAACACATTCCCCAGCATCCTTCAAAGCAGAAAAGACAAAGAGAAGGGCATTCATAAACAGAAGAACGTAAAAAGATAACAGGAATTACAGAGGGAAGAGATACTTCGTTGGTGGTGACCTGCAAAGTGTGTGCAATGTTTGTCTTTGTGCCGGAGAACAACACAATGTACACATGCATTCTGGGGCATAAAATAACAAGCTATTTTAAAAAGCCCTACTATCGCCACAAGGAACAGCAGTAAGCTTCCAAGGAAGGAAGAATAAGGTGCCTATTAAAAACATGCAGTCTCTCTCAAATGGCAAAAATCTGCTCCTCCCAAGTGACCAAAATGCATTTGCACCACTTGTGACAGTGGTGGCAGTTTTGGAAGGGGTCCTTGGCTACAGCTGCGTAGCACAGCAGCAGTCACATCAGACTAAAGCCATGCACAGGTTTAAGCTGAATGGCAATTGTGCTGATTATGATTAAGGTCTTTGACTGTGAGTTTCAAATACCCCTTTCCTTCTTTGCTCAAAGTCAAAAGCAACGGCTTATATCCAAGAGTTAATTTTTATATACTCCAAAAGAAGTTCACACTTCCCAAGGCTGAAGAAGGTGTTATTGGTAATAAGAAGATGAATGTGAGCATACGATCAAACTGATACCACAATGAATAATGAAAGTCAAGGACGAGCTTCACTTCTTTATGTAACCAGTCCTGGTCAAAGCTATCAAGCTGAACATGAAAGGAAGAGCACTGGAGAGTGAAAATCAAAGAAATAACCTAGGAAGCATAGCATAATATTTTAAAATCTACCTTTTCAGTCCAACTTAGTCCCTGTCTTTGTTGGAAATGACTTCCACAAGCAGAGGACTGAACACCACAATCACAAAGTCGGTCATTCAGCTGAGGTAGCTAATCAGTATGTATTCTAAGCAGCCAGCTTCATCTTCCAGTAGAAAGAGAAAACATTCGTTTCTCATTTTCCCCCTCTTACAATAACATCCTCATATAATAACTGCACATCGCAAGTCTTTTGCCCCCCCATCCTGCGTTTTTGGCGACACCGTCGTCTTTTGCCTCTCAATACCCAAGGGGTATGATTATAGGACAGTGGTGGCACACTGCCTGCTGCGCCGAATTGCTTTAATATACTAATTACCACTGAAGTCGAATGATACATTTTCATCCCAGACTTTGTACATCAAAATAATCTCATCAAATGGGTATTTTATGTGCTACAAGATAAATTGGGGCAGTTGGGGGAGTGGAGGAAATGATACGAAGGGAAAGGAAGGAGAAAGGAGGAAATGTTTTCAAGGCTTGTCATCTGCCACTGAAAGATTACCAGTGAAAGAAGTAAAATAACTGACATTGACTTTGCAAAATCTTCAGCAAAAAATAATATTTTCTGATAATTGAGCATCTTTGTGATTACATAAAAGCTCAAGCTTGAAAAGGATTGCATTTTTCTGGAATTTACATATTCATTGGATACAGTCTCTGAGGTTGCTTTGAATTGAGTCCAAAAGAAATGTTGATAAAATTACTGCTTGAATGGAGCCACTGTATAGCACTAGCTAAATCCAGAAAAAGAGCCATAGTAATGTCAGGAGGGGGCACCAATATTACATTTGGGGCCAGACCTATCATTGGGCAGAGTGAGGTACAGTATTTGCCTCAAGCAGCAGAATTGAGGGAGGGGGCTTGAACATGCAGCTAATAGTTAGTTCTTTAAGTAGTTATTGGCCAGAATCCTATTGGGATTTTACTCCATAGGAAGTCAAATTGTGTAAGATCTGGCAGTGAACTGCAAAATGGATGGCGGTTTCCTTAGAGTCATCTCATTATGACCCATTAAGGATGGAACATGATGATCTGTAAAATGTATTGAGTATAAATGAA